AAAAAAAAAAAAAGAAAAAAAAACGTGTATTAACATCAATACCACCACTGAACGATTGTCGTAATATGCATCAGTGGGCTTTCATGTTCCAAAAAACCATGACTCCACCCGAAGATGGCCGAGGAACCATCTCCGCCACATCACGGCTGGACAGCATTCCATAATCACTCGCGGTGACCCATTCCTCCAAAGTGGGCGCAGGCCCACCATCATCAGACAAATGTTCGTAGCTACCTTCACCGGCGTCGGGGGACTCAGAAGTATCCCGAAAGCACTTCAGGCGCACGTCACGGATAAAGCTCTTGCAAATTCCAGGCTCCAAATGGAGTGGGGGATCCTCTTTGCTCCCAATCAGCTGTAGCAACTCGCTCACTTCCAGTTCGGCTTGCTCACCACTCGCGCAAGGATTCTTGTACGTTTGAATCGCCGCCGTGCACCGACAGAACCAGTGTGCAAGGATGGAGTTCACGGCCATTGGCTGACATATTGCTTTCTGGTAGACCTTGCCCCTGGGTCCACATAAGAAGTTGATCATCAACTTCAGCCCGATCGTTCTGAGGTTCCACACTCCCAGGGCTGAGACCACCTAGGTTCCAAATTCCTCAGGGAAGATGTGAAATGTAATTCCGGCCTACACCTCAAAGCAAACACAATCGAACCTTAGCTGGAACCCCCAAACCACATAGTATTTCTGCTTGGCCTACCTCAATTCTCTGAAGCCAAGACATCTTATTCACAAAATGGTCCCAACCTAACACCTACACCAGCCCTGAGCCTTTAGGACAGAGGCCTTGTATATATCAACCCCTTTGAAGGGACCCTATCCCCTTTGTAATCCGACTAACCCCTTCAAAGGCACTCCGAAGCCATCCTTCACCTCCAAAACCTACTCCCGAAATCTTACGTGCCCCTAGAACCCCCAAAAAGGATCTCTAATTAAGCCCCTCAGCCCTAAACCCTANNAAACCCTGAACCCTAAGCCCTGCGCCCCCAAACCCTATCATTATTATTGCTATTATGCTTCTCCTGCTGTAAACCCTAACCCTAACCCCTAAACCCTGAATCCCTAAACCCCCTACACCCTGAGGGCCCCATCCCCCGGCATCCCCTGGCACCCCCAGGATGAAGGCCGTGAGCGAGTCCAAGCGGGGCAGAAAACCTTGCTCTCCACGGGCCAGGACCTTCAGGCCAACCTCAGGGAGTAGGGTTTAGGGTTTTAGGGGTTTAGGGTTCAGGGTATAGGGAATCAGGGTTTAGGGTTCAGGGTTTAGGGCTGTTTATCGGACAAGGTTTAAGGTTTAGGGTTCGGGGCTAGGGTTTAAGGTTCCAAGGTTTGGGGTTAGGGTCCAAACTAGACCTACATCTACGACGCATCGTCCAGCACTGCAACCCGCGTCTCGCCCTCTTAGTCCTCAACGCCTGCTGATGAAGCAGGCTCACCAACAATTTGAGTATGCGGTCACCTGCGTCTCCCTTGTGAAGATGCCCTCCCCGCTGGAAAGATTGGCGAATCCAAACTCCTCTTTCACCTGGTCCAATGAGGCAGGCTTGCAAGTTTTGCTGTCGGGTCCTTTAGGCCCGCAACATGGTCCACTGAAGAGGCGTTTTAGGTAATTATCAGGGTCTTGTCCACGAAGGGTGCTTTGAAGCCATGTTGGGATGCCGAAAATCCAGAAAGAGCTCTTGAAAACTACTTTGAAAGGGGTGACGGCTTGGGAAAATCCATGGTGAGTAGAGGGGCATGAAAAATCAGAGGTCCAGACAAGGGAACAGAAGGAAATTCTAAAGTTTGCTGGACGTCCAAGAAAGTGATTAGGTTCATAGAGGAATACTGCATTTAACAGAAAAATCCAACAAAAACCCGCCGACTGGCCTGATGTCATATGAGAATCAGGGATCTCTCTGATGGTCTAGAAAACGATTGCATCTAAATGCACCCACATGCGAGTCTTTCAATGAATCTCCGCATACATAATTTTTCGATCCGGCGATTAGCCAGGGTTCAAAAAAATAGGTGCTACTAGTAACCAGCAGTCTTTTCAAGTTAGCACGTTACCCTCCACCACCACTACCATACACCCGAAGCTTCACTGAATCCTCCAAACCCCAAGCGCACGGGTCAAAAACAAATCCACCCCGTGGCCTGTCGTGCGAGCGGACTGTAAATCACCTCCACCTCCAGTTTGAAGCAAGGCCACTTGTTCGTCATCCTTCCAGGGACGTCGGAACCCTCTTCAGCTTACATGTCGAACAGGAACCTTCAGGAATCTCTTTGGTCAAATTAGCTTCCATCACTTTCATCATCATTGATGCAATGCTCCCGGAATACAGAAAATGCAGGCCCCCACGTCGCACCCTCAACTCCAGAGCCTCAAGTCCAATGCCCAAAAACTAAACAGTCAAACCCCCACACCCTGACCCCAAACTCTACACCCTTCTGAGCTGCCTCTGCGCCCATTGGCTGTACCAAGACAAGCCCAGGTGGCAAGGCCAAGTGAAGCTGTCAGGGTCATCCAGGAATATGGTAGTTTCCCTATACAGTATAGTGGGGTTATACAAGGATAATGGAAAGGACAATGGAAACTACTAGATAGGGGGACCCCAATATAAACCCCAAAAAATTACAATCACTATTCTGGGAACCCTCAAAATGGTACCCCTAATTTCAAGGAAATTTTGTGGGGCTTAGAATAAGGTTTAGGGTTTAGGACTTCAGGACCTGGGGTTTACACCTATGGCTTCGGGCTTACAATTTTTAAGGAGAATTGGGTTTGAGTTTGTCACGCGATCGCATGCAGACGCCTCCAGAATTCGAAAACAGTTTTGGTGGTATATCAACCCCTGTACGCCCTCTGAAAAAATGTAATCGTATGGCAGTCAAAACCAAGGGTACATAGCGGGTCCTTGATTTCAAGTTTGGGTTTTGGGCAAAGAAATCTAACCTAACCGCAATGTTTTCGGAAACTTCGAGATTTTTACATCAAGGGGTAGGGGAACAACCAAGAGATGAAGGAAGTTCGGATTGAAGAGTTTAGGGTTTGGAGCGCAGGGTCAAAGGTTTGGAGCCTGGAATGATGGCAAAAGTGGGTTTGAAGTAAGCGTAAACCCCAGGTTCCTAGCAGTTTGAAGGGCTTCATGCGGGCTAGGCCCTACACTCTAAGCCCATCTAAGGCCTAAACTCTAAGCCTCTGAGCACCTAAAGCCTCAACACGAAGCCCAAAGCTCGAATCTTCAAAACCGGAACTGTAGACTCGAAGGCCTAAACTCTGAACCTTGGACTATAAACGTTGAACCCTATACCCTAAACTCCAAACTGTAGAATGTTGAACCCTAAACTCTAAACTATAAAGACTTGAACCCTAAACCCCAGATGCTAAACCATAAACACCAAACCCTAAACCCCAGATCTTAAACCCTAAACACCGAACCCTAAACCCCAAATCCCTTCATTGGACAAACATTCGCAATTAGACGTCGAGGTACGGATCCGAGAGATGCTGCTCCGTCCGCACAACCTGAGCTTTCGGGTTTTGGATTTAAGGATTTTAGGGTTTAAGGATTTTAGGGTTCAGGGTTAAGGGTTAAGCGCTTTAAGGGTTTGGGGTTAAGCGCTCAGGATTTAAGGATTAGCCTTTAAGGTTCAAGGCTTAGGGTTAAGGGTTTAGAGTTTTAGGTTAAGGGCTCGGAGCTCAGAGATTTGGAGTGTTGAGTTGCAGGTTAAAGGTTTAAAGTTTAAGGCTAAAGGGCTTAGAGTTAGGATTTAGGGTTCACCCCTGGGGGAGTGGAAAGAAATGGAAATAGTATCGTGCTTAGGGTATAGGATGCTTAAACTCCAAACCCTAAACCTAACAGCCAGAATGCGGCGACAGGAAAAGAAAATGGAAGCCACTTTAGGGTTCAGGGCGCTTAGAAGGCAATTTTGGGAACGGAAAAAATGGAAACTACAGTACTGTATGGTTCGGGCCTTTGGGTGTTCAAGGAAGTAGGAAACGGGTTATGGGATGATATAGGGGCTACTGTAAGGATCCATTCCCATATCTGGGGGGGTTGAGGTGGAGCCCAACAAATTCGGCGAAAAAATCTACGGGCTTACATCACATGCACACACAGCTTCACATCAGACAGGCTGAGAATGGTTGCACCATGCCGGAATGAAAAATTCTGCAGCCTGACCCCAGAGAAAATCATCACAAGCTCGGTAGCACAAACTCTGCCACTGTCCCATCCAACCAACCAAAATCCCAACAGACGCTGTTCTTCCCTGTTAATTCCGGCCTGACAGTTGTCCCTATCACAACCTGGCGGTCTTCCCTATTGCAACCTGATCGTCATCCCGTTTGCAACCTGACGGTCCTCCTTCTTCCCAGTATAGACTCTATATGATTTTATGACACTTTGCAGCCCTGCTTCCCCTCTTTCCCCCAACCTTTCCTCCAGTGTTTACAAGTAGGCCGGAGAAAGTGCTCAAATTGCCGGGGTCATGGTGGCCCCCTCTCTCGGGGATCAGCTGCAAACAGCGGATAAAACTTGGCGTTGAGATTCGAGATCTTTGTGGTGTAGGTGGTTTGGGGGGCCATACACCCAAGGCCCAGTTTCAGCAGAAGGGTTCCAAGCTCAAGATCAACAAGTTTGGGTGTCGCAGTCGAGCTTGGGGCACGCAAAGACCAGCTGCTGCTACGACAACGGACATTGGTTGATAATTTGGGGGGTTTAGAGTTTAGAGTTAGTCAGGGTTTGGGATTTGAGGCTTAGGGTCTGGGCCTTAGTAGCGGAATCATGGAGCAGATGCCCGTGTATTTAGTAGTAGCCCCTGAAAATAAACCCCTGAATCCCTTAGGCCTAATATATAGTGGCACTATATTGGTGGCGTGTATTATCAGAGCCGGCGGCTGATTTTTAGGGTCCCGATACTGACTACCGCCTTGTAGGTTCCAGACCCCCAATGCTCATCGGAGGGCACAACAAAAAATAACATTAAAAAGGACGACAACGTCTGAAGCTGGAAACCATATTCCCTACCCTTCTCCCTAAACTCCCCAAACACACATTAGATTTGCTGACTATACGTAAGTGTCCACGTAGCCCATGCAATCCTCCCACGTGCAAGTCCTGTAGAAATCCTATGTAATGTTAGCCTTGTCCCTACAGTACCTAATTGCCTGACCCAAGATGTCCCGAGAGAAATCTTAGATCCGCACACAGCCCCCCTCACTTCAACATGTAATATCTCTACTTAGCGCTCAGGATTTAGGACTAAGCCTGCGTGATCGCTCGAGAACTAGAAGGCATGCATAAGCCCGCATTCAATCGCTTGCGGTCACAACTGCCCAGCCACCCGATGCACGAGAATGAAGCTGCCTCCAGCAGACCTTGGAAAAGGTGTACTCCAATCGTAACCTGGGCCTTTGCATGTCAGCAACTCTTGTGGGGTGCTTTTGGGATATTGCGCACGTGTCGTTTTGGCCAAGTTCCGAAATAAATCAACCTGCCATGTGGCATTGCATGTTCCTTTTTTATTCCTGCAAGCGCCGAGCCAAACACTCCTCCACTGCAGAACTCTGTAACTCTTTAAGCCCACTGCAGACGAGGAGCCTAAATGCGCAGTTTAGCGGGTTCTCTCCGTCGCCGTGGTCCATAGACTTGTTCTTAGAAAACAGTCCATCAAACGAAGGGTGCAGAGTTTTGAGTATTTCTCTACTACCATGGCAAGCAGTACAAATCATGTCAAATCATGATACTACCAAAGGAGTAGCAATGCTTGCTTTACTGAAACCGGCCGTGCATTACACAAGATTCTTGCGTATCGCTTTAGGTCAGGAGGCTTGTGGAATTTGAAGAAGAGGACCCTAAACCTTAAACCCTGAACCCTAAACCCTAACAGGGTGTGACTTGGGGCTGTCATCCCTTGAGTTTCTGATTCTGCCGGGCTTTTTTTGCAGTGGATACTTCTTCGCGAGGTCCTGCCGCCCTCAACACGTTTCAGAAATTTCAGGAATCATGGAAGGGGTACTAACGGAAACGAGCGTCCTCCAGCGGATGGACCTTGGCCAAGAGGGAGGACATGTTGACGTACATGGTGCCCCACATTGACATGAACCAATCGGCTTTGGTCAGGCGCACAGGAGTTTTGTCAAGGCTCCGCAAATTCCGCAGCTTCACATCGCAATTCATCATGCTTAGGGAGAAGTATTTGAGGCAGTCTTTCAGACCAGGATCATCCGGACGACACCTCTCATTCTCATCTGCCGTGTCCTCCGACAAGAACTCATGGCAAACCGGTGCATTCACTCCTTTACTGAGGACCTCAAGGTAGGGCACCTCCAGAAATAGTTGGTATGAGACCACGCCGAACACAGCCCTGTCGGGCACAAAGAGGTTCTCTTGGGATGTGCAGTTGCACAGAGTGCCAAAGCTATGGATCTGGCAGTTTGGGTGGCAGGCTGGGTCTCCGAGGCGAGTTATCTGCGTTCGTTCCAGCTTCCAGAGGGTTGGGATGAACAGTCCTGTTCTGTTCCCAGATGCCTGAAAAAAGGACGAGGGCAAGATGGTTCTTCACACCTGCAACAAGAAATCATGTTATGAAACGATCCGGAATCCATCTCCCGACTCCTCTGTGATCCTGTAGTGCAAGCCTCGCTGCTGGTGCTGATGCAGGCAGCCGGTTGGCTTGCTTGACCACTGCTCGCAGGAAAAACCGCTGGGTGCATGGCAGTACTCCATACCCTTGCCTTCAGATTCCTCAGCGGATGGCAAGGTCAGTTTCCACTCTGAGCGTGGCGACATCCACACATGGGCCGACCTTTGGTTTGTGTAGGTGGCGAAGGCCACTGCATAGATCAGGGTGGCCTTAGCGTTCTCTGCTACACGCATGCTACATGATATCTTCGAAGGCGCTGTCTCCATTGATTCTTTTTGTTTGCCTACCGGATGTCTGCTTTATGTGCGAGAAAAATTGCGTCCCAAGCCCTTTCAGCCTGACTTCCGGTTGGCGTGTGTCAACTGATGATTTATTTGTTCTTGGAACACAGACAAACAAGAATCTGATTTCAATGCCTCACCGGGCCTGTAACCACGGTAGAATTCTTCAAGCGAATTTTTGCGCTGGCAACAAGACACTCTTTTTGTTGTGCTACTATCAGTACTGCTGCTGGTCCTGTCCATGTCTGAGCACCGACGTAGCAGCTGAAAAAAAAAACTTAAGCTGTACAAACTTGTTACTGTCCTCATATAATGCCAATAAAACCCCAAGAAGCCACTTGTAGACCTTTTGTCGATTCTACGTCTGATATTCCGAATCCCTCTACCCTTTAAAGCTGTTCCGTTCCGCGTGCTGTGTGCTTCAAAGGCAGGAAAATCTTTCGTGTAGCTTGTCGTACGCTTAGGATTTCGTGTGTAAGTTTGAAACGGTTTCTTACGTCCAAACCCCTCAGCCCTACACAATCCTAAAAACTTACGCTGTGAAACCCCAGAGGAACTTCGACAGGCAAGCACTGTTGATCTCAGAGTGGCCGCGAACAACGCGCTCTGCAGAATCGCGGCCGCCCTTGTGAGCCAGGGATCCTTTGGCTTTGGAAAATTGGAAAGTATTGGGGTTTAAGGTCATACAAGTACGAAAAGAAGATCTTTGTGGTCCATGCATGTATATACGTATGCAGCTTTTTTGGAAACTACATTAAAGATAACCATATGGCTGAAGGTTTATTGTATAAGAAATACCGTATAGATGCTCGTTCATGCATATGTACGTACATACCGATTTTCCACGGCTGCTAGGAGTACATGGGGTGTTTGGGATGTATAGGCTTAGGTCTTCGGATGTAGGGCGTCGAGGATTGTCTAAGGGTTCAGGGCTTGGGACCGGGGGTGTTGAAAAAGCGGTTTAAGGTTTAAAGGCCGTGGGCCTCGTGGAACGCTCAGCCATTAAATAACCGGGCTAATTTGGGCGCCGGCATTTTTCTGATAAGAAACTGTAATACAGTGTTGGTCCTGCTTTTAGATTGGGGATTTGGGCTTGTTGGCTTTAGAAGGCGGATGGTAAAAGATGTGGTTGGGATCTCATCCAAGGCAAAAATTTTTCAAATGTTTCCAATTAGGCTTAAGGATGTTGAGGCTGAGATACCGGGTTTGGGACCATGACTGCGTTGATGACGCTGGCATTATGGGCAGTGCTGCGAACAATTTCCACTGCTGTTCACTGTCCTGATAAAGATATTAAGGAAAAGAGAAGAAGCCAAAGATGCCATTGCCGGAGCAAGGATCGCCAACGATCCGGCATGACTGGGGAAGCTCTGGACCGTCCAGCATTTGCAGCTGCAAAACTTTGGCAGTTGCATTGACTGGGTTAAACAGGACCAGCTTCAAGTGGCGACGGAAACAAAAATTGTGCATTTCAGCCGTAAACCAACAAACCCTAAAACGTTGGATACCAAAAAGAGTTTCGAATTCATATAAAATGTAGTTAGGAGTGAGGTGTCCAGTTTTGGGAGGCAAAGCTGCAAGGTGCGAATACTTTGGAAGCCAAAGGCCCACACACACACACCGGAGCTGCAAGGAACTGCGTAAGTGACTGTGTAAGCCAGCAAAAAAAATCAATGCCCAGGGCTGTGGGTTTATGCCTCTAGTCGCGCTCTCCCAACCATATGCCCCTGCAAGTTCAAACACGACCGCACGTCAACCTCACAAGGCCCCCATTGCACATGATTCTTGAGGCAGTACGAAGACTAAGCATCATCACAGCCGCAATTCAGGGGCTTGAAGATTCGTGGACTTACTTTGTACTGCTCCCAATGTCTCCTAGGCCGTGGCTCTTATGGCACAGACGGCAATGCCATGAACTGTCAATAAGCCTCAAATCAAAATGATGAAGCCGTGAAGTGTCAAACCTCCATCCCGTAATGGGCCTTCGTAACTATTCTGATGGGTCCCTATGCTGGGCCTTCATAACTGTTATGATGGGTCCCTGATAACTGATAACTGTCATGATGGGTCCCTAATGACTGTTACGAAGGGCCTTCATAACTGTTATGATGGGTCCCTGATACTTGCTTGTTACGATGGGCCTTCATAACTGTTATGATGGGCCCCTGATAAATGTTATGATGGGCCCCTGATAACTGTCATGATGGGCCCCTGATAACTGTTATGATCGGCCTTCGTAACTATTATGATGGGCCTTCGTAACTGTTATGATGGGCCTCCGTAACTGATATGATGGGTCCCTAATAAATGTTATTATGCGGTATACGTGTGGCCTCTAAAGAAACCCAGGCAGCCCCTATCTATCCTAATTTATGGCCATTCACCTTGCGGGCGGTGCACTGCAAGCCTGGGTCATGTTCGGCATCGGCAGGGCCACCGGCCCCTCTACCCAAGTTTCAGCGCTTGTGCAAATGCTCGGTGGGAAAGTGGGAAAACGATGTTTGGCCATGCTACGTGCAGCCGATCTCTGCGCATGGAGCAAGGATCATGATGAAAGACCACCTGTGCTCCGGTGCCATCTTGGAGATGTACTGATTGAGTACAATTGTGCACAACGGAGATTTCTGGGCACTTGCAAGAAGGCCAGGTTATGCCAGGCTTAAATTCGGGGGTACAAGCCAGAACAAAAAGAGGTTCCATCACAATCCTTTGCGTAGCGTGCTCCCTGTACAAGCAAATCGATGAGACGAACCAGATCGCTGCACTGTAGGGGATTGCCGATCAGTGACCTGGCCATGCTCAACATCATCCGCCGCATTAACGGCTCCAGTAGGTTCCGCAAAGATCGGCTGCTCCACTCGTCGCGAGCCAGTCTGCAAAAACAACGCCAACATTTGTGAAGCTTTCTTGGTTTGACCTTCTTGGAGCGATAGCGTTTGTGACAGTTTCAGACCCAGTCTTAAGGTCTCCTATTCCTCACTACTCCACAGCTCAACCTAACCACTGCACGCCTATCTTTTCTGCAGCGGCTCAACGGCTGCTGGGGTGGTTTGAGCCTAAACAAACGGAGTGAAACTTACCAACGTATCAAGCTCATATGGGATATGTTCAGAAATGAAACTGTTGTTACGCCCTCTTCGTTTTTCGTGGAGCTTCACATCCACATAACCGAATCAACTCAGTTCTGCACAACTTCAGTTCAAAATCAGCCGGCGACTATATAGGCCTGCGAGACCCTGTGGAACTATGTCAGAAGCAAGCTCTGCAAGCTGCAGGCCAAACGCCCGGACATTACCAACACGACAAATGCACTTCAGCACTGGAGGACTGTCCTCGCCGAGTTGGAGACACAATGCGGAGACGGAGACTGCCCTACTACCCTGCTGCCGGTGGATGTTGCGAGGCTTGTGGCGCGCGAGGAATTTACTTCCCCAGCATCAAAACCATGCGGCAACATAGGACTGCGGCGCATAGAATGTCTGTGGACAGTGGCCATATCAGCAGCTCGAGCATTCGGTGCAGGGCATGCCGCAATGTAGACACTGCCTTCGGAAATTCTCAGGCTGGGGAGCACTGCGGGACCACATTCTCAAGCAGGCGTGCCAGACCATGCACGGTCCGCCAACAAATGCGGACGTTGCAGCCGCTGCCCGGAGCTAGCAGTACCACGACAGGCTCGGGGATGCCAGCAATCGGCCCGGGGAGATGGAAAACGAAACTGGTGGGT